CTCTCTCTCTCTCTCTCTCTCTCTCTCTCTCTCTCTCTCTCTCTCTACTATATATATATATATATATATATATATATATATATATATATATATATATATATATATATATATATATACACACACACACACACACGAAATATTTATAACACCACAATTTTATCCTCCCAAATGGTTTGTTGATCTGTTCCTACCTCTTTAGCTTGACCTTAGTTTTGAACTCTCTAAATTATGTAGGAACATTACAGTCCCTGACTGAAAAGAACTGTACTTTGCCTGGAAAGGTACAGTAAGTAAATAGCCCTGGAATGATTTAAGGCAGAATGATGATATTTGCATTAGTGGGAACCAGATTCCCTTAGGGATTTAGAACACCATTAGCTAGCTCTCCCGTCCCATTCAGGAATTACCAGGATTGTTTTAATGTTGCAGCGGCTAATAGTTTAAATGGGGATGTTCCTCCTGGAGGGACCTGGGTTTTGTATGTGAATGTTGCTTTAGTCTAATCTGATTTCAGCAGGAATGTAATTTAAGCAATGTCTCCTTGCTGACAGCCCCAAAAATATGGCCCTCCCAGTCAAACAGATCCCGTGACAGAATAACTTGAGTCCCTTGCAGTTTATGGAATGGCACCGTATTGAGAGCCTAGAAACTGAAAAATACTTTCTCACGGCATTTTTATGTAAGAGCTTCCAGCTGTCCCGAGTGTGCGAGCCAGCTTCAGTCCCTGGAGTGTCACTATGGGAACGCTGTTATGGCAACTGCTTTTATCACAGATTTGCGGCTCCTCGCAGCCGGACTAGCCCAAATCACAGCTTCCAGACTGTGTTGAAATAGTTAACGGTGTATCTCTGGAAAAAAAAAAATCCAGGTTAAATAGTTTGAGAGGGTGGATGTAGCCAACAAGAATCAGCAGCTGTTAAGCTGTTCTACAGGTTGGAAGGACACACTATGTTAGTTAAAGGTCTGGGGTTTTCCTCTGGATTTCGCCAGATGCTTGTATATTTCTAAGATCTTTTTGAATGTTTTTGCATTAGCAGGAAACTGTCTTACTCAGAGGAGGCCTTCATCCTGTAGCCTTAGAGAAGAAAGATGGTCTTGTAGCAAAAGCTCTAGACTGGAGCTCAGATCTGGGTTCAAATCCTGACTCTGCTACCAGGCGTCTTGTACTTTAGGCAGATCACTTAATCTCTGTGTGCCTCAGTTCCTCGTCTACTGTCGGTCAGTCCTGCCTCTTGATTTTATGAACTCTTCACGGCAGTGACACTCTCACTGTGTTTGTCCAGTGTCTAGCACACGGGGGTTCTCATTCGGTTTGAGCCTTCCGAGCACTACCATAATGTATATAAAGTGTAGCCCACGAAACCTGGGTATGAATGCTCCCACTTAAGACAACCTGTTAATTGTGGGAGTAAACCTCCACAGGGCCATAGGTGACTTTCCCTCTCTAGGGACAGAAATCTATGCAATGCTTTTGGGTGGTAAGAGAAACAACTAAGGGCATAGGGGCAGGGGCATCTGTTACTGGGTATGGACGGCCACATGCACAGGAGCAGTTTCCAGGAGCAGGTCACGCATCTCTGCCTCAGTTTTCACTCTGCTCTGAAGATGCCCCCTGCCAGTTGGGTAATTCATACCTCTGTTTTCCTATTGGTTTTCCTACTGGTCAGGTAGCTTGGCTCTCCATAGGCCAGCTCTAGGCATCAGTGCTCCAAGCATGTGCTTGGGGCGGCACTTTCCAAGGAGTGGCACTCCGGCCTCCCCCCCTTTTTTTTTTTTTTTGCTTGGGGTGGCAAAAAGCCGGGAGGCGGCCCTGGCCAAAGTCCTGCCGCTGGAGAGCCAGAGCATCGTCCCCTGGAGCCGAGCCCAGGCTGCGGCAGCGAGAGAGGCTCCCGGGGTGTGTGAGGAGCCGGTGAGGGAGGGAAACGGGGCCCGGGATGCAGGGAGGGAGGAGGGATCCTGCTGCCGCCACCGCTGCTGCTCTGAGTCTCCCCAGGGCGGCGCGGTGTTTCCCCACCCGAGTGGGCTGTGCAGGGCGCCGCTGGGCTGGGCTGGGCTGGGCAGGGGGCGCGGATCCCGGCTTGCGCGCTGATGGGGCAAGTGGCTGGGCAGCCCGAGCTGCCAGGGAGCTGCCCCCTCCTGCCCCCAGTCCCAGCCTGCCGCGCACCTCCCCCGCCTCAGCCCCGCGCTGCTTGCACTGGGCCCCCACAGCGCCAGGGGTGGGGAGAGACAGAGCCCGGCTCCGAACGGGGGATACTGCCCCGCCGGGGGACCCCTGCGGCTCGAGCACCTGGGGGTCAGTGTCCGTCCTCTCGGCTCTGCCTGCAAGGGGCTGGGGAAGCAGCTGTCAGCGCATGCCCCTCTCAGACCTTGCACCCCCCATCCCGCTCGTAGCCTCTTCACTTGTACCTCCCCCCATCGTTCCTTCGCCGAACCCCTTCCCCTTGTACTCTCCCTTCACCCGCACCTCTCCCCTTGTACCCTCCCCCAGCCCTCTTCTCCCACACCTCCCCCTTCCCCTGCACCTCTTCTCCAGCAATCCTCCTGATACCCCCTCTCCGCCTCCACGAGTACATCACACCCCGCTTCTCTGCCAGTGTAGAGCCCCCAAGTACCCCCACACCCGCTCCTCTGCCTGAACCCTCTTTACTAGATCCCCATCCCTTTCCGGGGACAAGGTTTGAGGATTAGTCCCTATGCCTTCCATGTGCATTTGGAGCACTAAAGATGGGGTTGCGGGGAACGGGGGGGCGAGATTTTTACTAAAATGAAATAAAAATAGGAGAAACGGTTTGATCCCCACTGCAAGTGTAAATGGGGGTTGCTGTGGTGAACGAGGAGGTCACGGGGGCGGGGGGGGTGAGCCTAGGGCTGGGGCGGCAGGAGGTGCGGGGGAGGGAGAGCCCAGGGCTGGGGTGGGGGGCAGCCAAAAATTTTTTTGCTTGGGGTGGCAAAAAACTTAGAGCCGGCCCTGGCTCTCCGAGTCCAAGCGCAGAAATGTCCTTCACCCCTTCCTGGCCTCAGTAGTCTTTCTGACCTAGAATTGCTAATTAATCCTTCATCCCACCCTGGCAACAGCTGTCACCTCTGAGCAGCTTCCTTCCCAGGTCCTCTGTCTTGGCTGTCTCTGAGGGCAGGTCTTCACTACAAGGGGGGGTCGATTTAAGATACGCAAATTCAGCTACGCTTCGCCAACTTACCCTGCTGTGAGGACGGCAGCAAAATCAACCTCCGCGGCTCCCCATCGATGGTGCTTACTCCCACCTCCGCTGGTGGAGTAAGAGCGTCGATTCGGGGATCGATTGTCGCGTCCTGACGAGACGCGATAATTGGATCCCCGAGAGATCGATTTCTACCTGCCGATTCAGGTGGGTAGTGTAGACCTAGCCTAAGTCTCCTCCCCAA